CACCTCCACCTCCTCCTCTTCCACCCCCTTCTCTTCCTCCACCTCCTCCGCCTTCTCCTCCTCCTTCTCCTCCTTCTCTTCCACATCCACCTCCTCTGCCTCCTCCACCTCCTCCCACTGCTCCTCCACCTCCACCTCCTCCACATCCACGTCCTCCTCCTCCATCAACTCCTCCTCCTCCTCCACCTCCTCCAGCACCTCCAGCTGCTCCCAAGCTACTCTCTGATCTGACTATTCGCCGCAGCAAACGTGTATCATCCCAGTTTCAAGTGGGAGAATTGAAAAGTGCCTTCGCTGGGAGGTTCTGAATGGAGTTTCTGCAGAGACACGTTTCCTTGCGCTGAGAACCAGCCCAGCCCTCAGAGCCAAGGTGAGCCTTACTGGCGTTTCCATCCTGACCTCTTGTGGTCATTTCTCGTATCGCGGCAGGCCTCAGAAAAGGAAATGCCCTGAGTGTTTCCGGGAAAAGTCATCAAGGGACTAAACAGCAGTTGGAGCAGCGCTGACTGGGAACAATGTGCGTTCACACCACTTCCCTTCGGGGACTTCACTCTCACCGCAGACGTGAGACCCCCAGCCCAGCAGTGGGTCACCCTGAGTGGCCGCACACGGCCAGGGGCGGCTGGACCGGGGGTCCCGCCCGACTCCACGCTCGGTGCCCGGTACCTTGCTCACCGGGCTGAAGGGTGACTGTGCCTCTGCTCGAGCCCGACACCCGTCCTCCCCCGCCCGCAGACGTCAGGCTCTTTGTTCCCGGGCCCTGACTCGGGCCCGGGTTTCCACCACAGACCCCTCGGCCTCAGACCAAATACCACCTCCGGCTCTCCTGGTTTCTCCGGCTCGCATCTGGCAGACGCAGGGACTTCTCAGCGTCCGTAAGCGTGAGAGTCAGTTCTCACGGCAAACCGACGGTAAGTCCCGTCGTGTCTGTGTCTCCGTTTCTCACACACATACAGTCTGGAAGAAACGTCCCCCCCTCGGTGGCACCACATTCACAAAGGACAGAAGCAGCAGCTCCAGCCTGAGCCACATTCCCCTGCGACCCTTCCTCACCCCCGACCAGCTACTCCTTCATCCAAAGCTTTCACCAGGAATGGGTTTGACTAAGCCATTTATCTTTCAGAGCCTCTTGAGAGAAGTAAAAAGCATCCCTCAGTTTACTCTTACTAGCCGGACGGGACTAGCCGGACGGCTTTGGGAAAACCTGAGTAAATGACCCGTGCCTCAGTTTCCCCACTGTAAAACGGGAATGTTGAGAGTCCCCGCGTCAGAAAGCCATCTGGAGAGCTAAATGAGGGGACACACACACCAAGCGTCTCCCACTTGGGTTTGCTCACGGGAAGAGCGGAGAGTGATTCCTTCCACGGTGGCCGTGATTAGGATTGTGTCTTAAATCCCCAGCCGCGTTAGAACAAAGGATCCAGGAGCGCCGTGTCGGGACCCGGGGTCAAGACCAAGTACCAGAACAAGCGGCTCCTGGTGCTCTGATCGCTTGGGGAACCACAAGGGGCTCGGCAGCTGAGCCTGGCCCCGGGGACGGAGGCGGACGCGTGCACGTGTCACTGTGTCACAATTACGCGTCACTCTCCTGTTGGGGGACACTTGGCCTGAACGGGGTTTTGCCAGATGCCGGGGTTGCTACCTCCTCGTCTGCTGTGTAGTTTCCTGGCAAGTTTTTCTCGTCCTTTTTTGAATGTCCGCGTCTCTCCGTCTGCTAAAGGAAATGTACTTGGATCTTACGCTTTTGTCTGAGAGTTTCTGTTTCATTGGTTACATGTCCTTTTATCTTATTTTTTACTTTTTTAAATTTACACCCAAATTAGTTAGCATATAGCACAACAACGATTTCAGGAGTAGATTCCTACCCCCACGGCGTGTCGCGTGCCCCCTCCCCACGCACGGCGTGTCGCGTGGCTTCGTGCGCCCCTCGGGGCCTGTTTGCCCGGCCTGCGCGCTCAGGCTCCCCGGGCCTGGGAACGTGCACGACCAGAAGCCAAGGCCAGGCCCTGGTCGGCGTCTTCCCGGAGAGTCGAGGAGGGAGGAGGGCGCCCCGGACGCAGAATCGCAGCGCAGAGCAGGACCTGACAGGTTGTTCACACGGCACTTTAGCCCCCCCCCCCCCCCCCCCGCCCCGGGTACTAGCGGGGACACAGCAGGGAGGAGGGGACGCCCGGGGGCAGCTGGAACCCGTCTCCATCAGCCGCTCGCCAGTCGGGTCTGCCATGCCCTCGCCCCACAGGCTCGCCGTTCGGGCCGCTGGTCCCGGCTTCCTGACCTCCAGGGGGCCCTGGTGGCCTGGGGCCGACGGGCAGGACAGGCGGGCACGGGGCCTCGGTCCGTCCTCCAAGTCCCCTCGTCAGTGCCGGCCCGGCCCCGGCCCCTTCCCGCTCCTCCACACGCTGTTCCACCTCCCCGAGGTCGCGGGCACAGAACGCGTCCTCGGATGCTGGCGCCCTGCCTGCTTCCGTAGTCCCTGCAGGCCGCGTCTGGAGGATGGCCGCTCGCCAGGTCACCGCCCTGAAGAGGGCACGGGATGTGTCAGCCTACTCTTACACACAGGCCTGTACACGCGCACCACACACGTGCTTACACGCACGCAAACTAAGACACACACCGTGCACACGCACACACGCACGCACACGCTCCCCTGTTGTGCAGCCTCCAGCTGCCGGTCCGAGTGCAATACACCCAGCGCGTCCGTGAGCGCTGGCTGTAAAACGCACAAACCGAGGATCGCTTCACACACGCAGTCCCCCCACCCCAGGGTCGCACCCGCCTGAGAACCAGTCCTGTTAAGAGGAGCTGCCCTGTGTGGCGAATTAGAGAGACTACAGTTAATACTTCAACTGCCTAAAATATGACAAGTCAAGAATGAAAAGGACACGCAGCTCACATAGATGCTCTGCGAGGGCAAGCCACAGGAGAAGCCAGACGCCCTTCTGAAGGCTGTCCGGCAGAGCTGGGACCCCTGTCCCCCAGCCCCCTCACCTACCTGGGCCTCCTTCCCTCCGCGAGGGACACGACTAGTAAGAGACGTGACTTGTTAAAACCACCGTGGCCTCGCACTCCAAGAGGGAGCGTGAACAGAGTGGTCTGTGGGCGCCCCCGAGAGTCGCGGCAGCAGCGGCCTCCTCTCCAGCAGGCCAGGTGCCCTCTGGGAGTTCACACGCGGGGCACTTCCTCCTGTAGCCCCTGGGTCTCTCACACGAACCCCCGGACACACAGAAGCTTCCTAGAAAGCGGAATGGCCCTGACTGGGCTCTGCCGCCCTCGCTGGCCTCAGGCAGGCAACTATTTCCCATCAAGTTTTGCAAGGCTTGTCCGTGATCGGCAGAACCAAGGACCCGTCACACGAGCACAGCACACGGGCAGGGACATCCGGTGACAAGCCACTGCAAGCTGCTGAACGTCCGCCCCGCAAGGAACGCCGCGAACGGCTGGCTGTACGTTTTCACATTTAGATTTTGACGTTCGAAGCCTCTCGGGTACCATTACGTCTGGTTTATTTACTCGTCTTGTTGGAGAGAGTGACGAAAGAGGGAATCGGCGGGTCTGAGCCCAGCGCTGCGCGGGGCACATTCACTCACGTGGTCTCACGCGGGGCTGGAAGACACACACGCACGCCTCCACCTGCAGACCCACCTACACGGTCAGAGGGCGGCAGCCTCTTCCCGGGCTGCCCGCCCCGGGGCTTCCATGCATCCAGAGCTCTGTTCTGACCCTCACTTCGCGGAATCTGCAACACCTGTCACTTCCTTCCTCCCCACCTCTGTCCTGCTTTAGGTTAAGCGGGGCATTAATTTTTCAAATAAGGGAGAGGAAATGCCATCAGGGACACAGGCACAGATAAGCAGTATTTATCTTTCAACTAAGCTAAGTAAGCCTCACGGAGCTTCGTTTCCACATGACGTGTTCCAGTGCACCTCGCCCACGACGCGTTCACACCTGCCAGACGGCGCGGGCTTCGGATTTCTTGGTAGAGGTACTTTAAGGCAAACATCGGATCTTCCTTCGAGAGCTATTACGGAGACATGTGATCAGTAATGCGTTAACTTCTTACGAACAGGCAACGCTATACATTCAGTAACTAATAATGTATTAAGACCTTAGTACGTGGCAGGCGCTATTCTAGGGACCAAGGACACGGCATGGAGTTTACATGTAGTGGCGTAAGAAGGACAATAAACAGACAAGTACACGATGTGTCAGTGGTGACAAAACTAGCTTCGAAGAAAAGCAGGGACAGGGAGACGAGGAGGCCGGGGCAGGTGAGAGGCTGCCATCTCGAACGGAGTCGTTAGAGTAGATCTTGCTGCTAATGTGACATCTAGCCAAAAGGAGGCCATGCAGGTGTCAGAGAGATGGTGTTCTAATTGGAAACGGCATGTGCAAAGGCCCTGGGGCAGAGGCAAGGCCCAGTGTGTGACAGGAACAGCAAGGAGACCTGGGTGGAGTAAGAGAGGGGAGCAGGGCAGCCGGTATGCCGATGATGCGGGATCTCCCGGCCCACAGCGAGGACTCTGCCGTGACCCGAGTGACCTGTGGAGCCACGGGCAGGTGGTGACCCAGAATGACACGGTCTGACTTGGGTCTTAAGCAGACGCCGTGGCTGCTGAAATGGCACGTAGCACAGCCACTCCCCGTCTTCTCCCTGTTCTCGGCCCCTCTGTCCGGACCACACGATGACGCTGCTTCCTCAGTGACCTCCCGAGTCTGAGGCAACAAAGTAACCAAGGCCCTAGTCACTGCTTCCGCTCGCCTGGGAGATTTGCCCGCAGTCTGCGCACGCCTGCACACAGACCCCGCACACCCCGCGAGGGCAGCCTTGCTCCATCACGCCGTCTGCACGGGCGCCCACGGCCCCCATTCGTCTGTAAGCTGCTTCAGGGCAAAGAAATAAAGGCACAGGTCTCCACGGTGCTCAGGCTTCGTTTTTATTAAACCACGTGCTGCCCCCGGGGAGATACAGCCGACCGAGGGCACCGGCCACCGGTTTCCTCCCGCTTCCACGGCGGGCACCTCTGCTCACCCGGGACGGGAAATTTCTGCAAAGCCGCCCGCCCCGGGGCCCGGCTTCTCCAGGCACAGACAGCTCCACAGAGGGAAGCGGACTAAAGAGCCCCTTCTTCCGCACAGAGGCCTGGACACACACGGGCCGGATGACCCGGGCACCGTGGGGCAGAGGGAACGCCCGGAGCCGCCCCAGGAGGCCTCCTCTGGCCAGACGCGGCTCACTTCCTGTGGCCCTGCACAGCGGCCAGTCTCAGCCTGACCACTCGCTCTTCTCGGCGTCGCGCACGTAACGCAGTCAGATGCGTCCCCGTCACCGGGCTCTGTGGGCGCCGGCCGCCGGGACACCAGGAACGGGCACCTGGGAGCTCGGTGCCCCCCCCCCCCGCCCCTCCCCGGGCGGCTCTGCCTCCGGCCCAGCAGGAGCCCGTGACCTAGGAGGGCAGCTCCGTGCTGGGGGCAGAGCACAGGGACTAGGAGTGCGCCACCCGGGGGGCGGGCCGCTTCTCCGTGAAGAAGCTTTTCAGCAGCAGCACCTGGCCAAAACTGACCAGGAACAGGGCGACGGTCTCGCCGACAGACCAGTACGAGACCCGGCTGTTCAGCTCCTCCGCCCGCGCCCGGTCCTGGGCCTCGCGGAGCCGGTAATGCGTCTGGGAGTCAATCACCGTCTTCAGGGCCTCGTGGATGGTCACACAGGCCGACTCCATCTGGGCAGGAGGAGAAGAGCAGTCATGTTCTAACCCCGAGAGGAGCGTGCAATCCGCACACGGCCCACGCCGACACCCGGGCCACGTCCCCTGAGCCGCCGGCACCCGAGGCTCCGATTAGGAGGTGACGGAGTCAGGAGCGGAGCCACGTGTCTGAGTCCCGAGCCTAGGCCTTCGAACGCGGCCCTGGGGTCTCACCTAACATTCGGGACAGTGGCGGGCGGGGATCGCCACCCCGCTGGTAGGAGGCCTGACGGACCGCTGGCCCCGCACACAGATGAGAAAACTGAGGCTCCAAGAGGCCGTGTGACCTGCCCGAGGTCAGAGACGTGAGTCACAGTCGTGGGGGCCTGTTCCTGTACACACACAGGCACAGGAAGACACCCCTCTCGTGTATGCACACACACCCGACCGCACATATGAACGCACATGCTTACACACACACGCTCACGTGGGACCCCCTTCACCCGGCTCCACGTACTGAGGCGGAACCTTGAATCCCTTCCCCCTCCCCCACACCTGCCCGACTCCCGCGACACGATGAGCTGTGACTAGGTCACACGGCACGGCCACCCTCACGCCACGGCCACCACCCCAGCGCCTCACCTGACCACAGGAGCCCCCGAAAGGGAGCAGAGCTCCGGCTGCCAGCCTAGAGGACACAGGCACGTGCGGGGACCGGAGGAGGTCTCTGGGGGCCGGGGCACAACAGCCGACAAGGACCCGAACCCGCCAACAGTCTGGCGAGCGTGGAAGCTGATCCCCGGCCTCACCCCGACCCAGCCTGGGGACCCGCGTGGCCCGGACCGCCCGCCTGCGGCACTGAGGTGCACGTGGTCCACTTCGGACGCTCGGTTACGCCACGAAGGGAATCACAAGCCCACGGTGGTCATGAGGCTCACTCACAGGTGACCTAGGACACGCATTTATCTGAAACCTAGAAGATTCTATCCCAACAAGGCCAGAGAAGCTCACAACGCGTCCCAGAGACACCTGCTTCGGTCCCCAAAGCGCAGAGAGAGGTGAACTGTCCACACCGTGAGCGCAGGAAGGGAGGGGAGACCGAGTCACGGAGCCACTGCCTGACTGACCCCCAACACCCTCCCTTGTGTCACAAATGAACTGTTTCCGGGAGGCAAATAGGAGACTGTGGCCAAAAAGCAACATCGCCCTTACTTGCCTCACGGGCTGTTCACTCCGGGCCACGGCAGGGGCCACACCAGGCCACGCGAGGGAGGACGAGGCCTCCTTTCGGCCCCGGCGTTTCCAAGGCCACGTATCGTGTCCACCCTATGACTGGTCTGCCGCCAGGGCTACGGTTTCCTGTGGACACGCGGGCGGCTGCTGTCACCCGGGTCCATGGGAAGAGCTGCAAAGTGCCACCCAGACAGGAAGCGACAGGGTCACTGCCACCCAGGTGGAATTAGGGGAGCTCCACAGGGCAGCAGTTCAAAGGGCAGAATCCAGGGTAACAAACCCACTTTCTCGGGGACACCTGCACACCCCGTCATCTCGGGCTGGCGCCCGGCGTCGTCACCTGCCCCACACTTGGTAGGCGGCTCATATCTACAGGCGTCAGACGCTGAGAAGCGGCCACCTGATCCTGGAAGGGCTCCTGACACCAAGGAGTTCCTTGATGTGTCAACCGGCTTCAAATGCCGGCCACAACAGGACCACCCGGGGCACAGACCTCTGCCGGACGCACAGTGGCACTCGTGGGCGCTGACACCCCCCCCCCGCCCCCCACCCCAGCTCTTCAGGTGACGCTTCTGGAGCTCACGAAGGCACGTCCGCCATCACAGAATGAACAGCGGATAAACCGGGAAGGGCTAGGAAGGAGGCCGCGGCATGGGGTCAGGCTACTCTGCGAGCCTGTGTCCAGGCCAAATCACGACACGGCATTTCTGGAAGCCTCTCTAGTCCAGCTGCACTGGTCACTGCAGTTCTGCGGGCAAGACAGGGCAGAGCGGCGGACAGACGTGGGCACCGAGGGCCCCGCCACAAGCAGGTTCGGGGTGTCCTTGAGATCAGCGGGGGCCGGGGACACACACGTAGGCATGCGCACCTGTGGGACCTGCACATACACACACACTCACTATGCATGCACACACAGACTTTGCCTTTAAGCACGAGCGAAGGGCCCACGTGGGTTTCCGGGCTAGAATTCCACCCTCTACGCTTAGGTCCGTCCCATGCTCATTCAGAGACTCGGAGCGGGCGCTCCCTGGGCCCTGGGCCTGGCTGGAGGGCTCAGCAGTGCAGGTCGGCAGGTGCAGGCTCCTCCCAGGGCCCAGAATCACTGGAAAAGGAGGGAGGGAAAAGGAAGAGAGACAGGGAGGACCCTGAAGTCACAGCTGCAGAGGCCCGAGGCAGAGGACACGTCGGGTCCGCCGTGCGAGGCGCCACGTCGGAGGCCGCGTCCCACCCATAGGCCAGAGACGGCACCCCGGTTCTGAGAAGAGGGCGGCGGTGGCCTTCGCATCAAGGTCTCAGATCAGGTCCCGGAGGGTAAAGCAGCAACGGGCAGGAACGTAGCTCTCCCAGCATCAAGGCCACGGGGACCCAGGGGCAACACAGCACATGATGCACACCCGCCCCCGAAGCACCCCCTGCCCAGAAAGGCACACTATGTCCCCATCACTGGGACCCCCGCCTGTGCCAGTGCACGGCCCGTGACCACGAGCTTTCCGTTAGGAAACCCGTCCAGCCTGCTTCCTACCCTGCGGAATCTCTTCTGCTTCCAAGAACCCTGTTTTCTCAGGGCCCTGGGCCCCCTGGGCTGGAGTGTGGCTTCCGCCCTGGCTGGTTCCCTGGCTGGAATCCGGGAGCCTCCCGGGGTTTCTGGTCACTGCTGTCTTGTGACAGTTGCTCCCTGGAGACACCCCGATCCGTCCCCCTCCCGGGACCATCCCCTTCCTCTGCTGCCACACCAGCGTCTCACCCTGTCTGTCCCGCCTGGCGATGCTCCAGTCTTCAGCCTGCAACCACCAGCAAGGTCCCCCAGCCTGCACCCCACGGGGCCCCCACGGACAGGAGCGCACTCGGGTCCTTACAGACTTCAAGAGCTCAGAGCCAGGGACGTACGGGCTGACCTCAGAGCAGAGGTGGGAGAACCTTTAATCCTCCCTGGAACACCAGTGAGCGGCCCGGGGCCTCTGACCTCCGCTGGAAAACCTTCAGCCTCTGCTGGGATCTGCCCGGACTCTCAGGAAGCTCAGCCGCCCCAGGGGCACCCTCCGGCCCCTGCCCTCTCCTGGGAGCCTGGTCAGGCTGCGACCCAAGCTGGAGACAAGTCCCCGTGGCCTTAGCCCCAGCCTGGACCTTGGTCACTCTGGATCCTGCTCTTCCATCAGAGTTTGGATTCGGGGGCCAGAAAACATGGCCTCTGGCCCACCGCTGTGCTGGAAGAGGTGGGGGGGGGGCAGGGGGTGTGAGAAAAGAGCCAGGGCCAATGGGGGATCCAAGCCACGCCAAGAAAACAAGGTCTGGGGAGGGACGTGCACCTGCCGGCCCATCCCGAGAGCCGTCCCTTAAACCACAGCTCTGACCACAGCGCCCCGTGGCTAACTGACATGGCCACACATCTCAGCCTGCCGCCAGCAGGCACTAGCACACAGGAAATGCCCGCCACACGGGAGCCAGGCTCTCAGGTGTAGACACAGACAGACGGTGCTCAAGGCTGGGGGTGGGGGCGGGCGGGGTGGTCAGAGGTACCAGGGGAAGGGACCCCCTCTGGAGGCTGGGCAGGAGAAAACAGGAGATCCGGCCACGCAGAAGGGGGTGAGTAGTCAGTTTCCTGCAAGAAAACCAAATCTAACTCTAAGCCTCCAGGAAAGGATTTCTCGATCGCAGTGACCACCATTAAGCCTTGTCTCTACCCGATCTGTCTTCCACCGGTTAGAGGGGGAGACCTTCGGCTCCGCTTCCAGAGTTACCGCATCTTTAGCATGGAAGCTGTTTCGTCGGTGAGCCACAGAACTCCCAAGAGTACGGGCTGTGAGACCTCCCACCCAGGACACGCCACAGGTCACGCGGCCAGGCTCAGACCCAGGGCCGTCTGGCGGAACCTGCCACGCATGGCCACTGGCCACCTGTGACTGCTGGGCCCCGGAAATGTGGCTACGCAGCCAACGAGGAAACGAGTTTTTAATTTCATTTTAATAAACTTACGTTGCAACAGCCGTACGTGGCCAGGCCACACCCCGGACTGGGTGGCGGTAACCCCCATCTGCTCAGGGAGGGCAGACGAACCCACGGTCAGAGCCACAGAGGAAGGGAGCGGGCGACCACGTGACCACCGAGAGGCTGCCCAGAAGGCGACCTGGCCCCGCTGGAGACTTAGACGCTCTGGCTTTGGATCAGGAGCAGCGCAGACCCGACGGTCAATCCTGTCTTGCGGGGTCCCCTGGGCCCCGCCACGCAGTCATGTGGCAAGTCTGTGCCATGCGCCACGACTGGGGGCAGGGGATACCAGGGTAAACGGCACGGGTTGCTGGGCGGGCCTCGGGAAGCCGTGAGCCTGCACTGCGCGTGAGGGGCAGGAGGGAGACTGACAAAGGAGCCTGGGCTCAGTCTGTCACTGGCCCCGAGAGCCCACGCACGACCATCTATCCCCGATTCTCTTCCAGAGTGTGTGGGGCCCTGGCTGCGAGTCCACTGCCCAAGCAGACTGTCTCCGCCAGCCCTCCCGGCATCCAGGGGGCCGCGGGACACCTGGCAACGACGGGCTGAGCAGAAGTGCGGCGAGAGACTCCCGGGCCGGGGGTCTGAAGAAGCAGGCGGGACTTCCGGAGGAAGTCCGCTCAGAGCCCAGAGGAATGGAGCAGGGAGCCCACCAGACAGCACCCCGGATTCCTACGTCAGTCCCTGGAGGAAAGCTCTCCACCAACCTAGGCTACCGCTTGAGTGAGAAAAGATCTGCCACAGGGTTAAGCCACCGACACGTGGCTGTCGCAGCTCACGTGGCCCTGACAACACACCGTACGAAGCAGGCGTTCGGTCTTGATGACGCACACACACTGTACATGCATTGGGGGGGGTGGGGTGCAGGCATGGACGCCTCCCAAGCAATGCCATTTGAAAGGCCGTTGGGAACATGGAAATTCCATAGGACCTGGCGAAACAACGCAGAGGGAGAGCACAAGGGGGACCGTGTCCTTTAGGACTGAACGCAGGAGGAGGTGAGGCCAACACTGAGCCACGCAGGCCGGGAAATGGGGGCGGGGCGACTGAGTGCCGGCCAGGACCGGACCCGAGGGGAGGAGGAATGGGCTGAAGGCCGAGCCCGGCCCACGGCCGCCGACGTCCACTCACCTGGGTGAGGGCCGTGACCCTGTTCCCCATGTCTGGGAGGATGGGGGGCTCGTCGCCCACTTGGAAGTCAAAGTAGACAGTCTTGTGAGAGAAGGTGGAGAACTCATTGCTGAAGCAAAACTGATAAACGCCCTTGACCTCGGCCCGGTGCGTGAAGCTGTCGTACTGCTTCTTGGTTTCCCTGTAGATGGTCTTTCCCAGGGGGTCCTCCACGTAGCAGTCCACGTCATAGTGGCCTCCGGTAATGACCTGACAACCAGAGAGACACCCACCGTCTGCTTTACCAGTGGGGCAAGCAGCGCGCATGCAATGCCGACCGGCCACCGTGAACTTCCTAGAACAGGTGCTGGGATGCTCTCGGTCGTCCTGGGGACGACACTGAGGTTGGGAGAGGTTAAGTAAATCCGCCATGGCCACACTGCTAGAAAGGGACGGGGCTAAGATTTGAATGCCCGTCTGCCCGACTTCCCAAGGTTTTGCTCTGCAAGGGCACGATGAGCTTAACCCTTCCCCTTTTTTTTTTTTTTTAATTTTTT